TATTATCTTTATAAAATGTTATATTATTAAACCAAAAATAAATTATTTCATTATAAACTTAAATTAAATTATAATAAGAAAATAAATTAAAGAAATTACATAAAAATGAGAATTTTTAAATAGTTGATTTGATTTTAACATCGATTATCGTTTTTCAAAATTTTATGATATTTTCAAATTTATATTTTCATTCAAAAATAAAAACATTTTTTTCTTCTCAAAACCACATAAAATCGCTTTATAACATCGATAGACCCAAAATATAAAACGAAACATTAAAATTAAGATGTATCTTGTTGCATTGCACGGGTCCCCTTCTAGTAATTCTATTAAGAGACATTCTTTGAATCGTCAAGAGTTGAATCTTGCTTGACAAAAAAAATCTGTTTTCTAATGGTTCTGAAACTCTCTGAATGATTTTATATCTTAAATCTCTCTCTTAACCATTTAACGCCCTAATCTTACTCTTAACAAGTATCAAACAATTATATTTCGTTTTGTATTATATCACAAGAAAATCCTAATCATTTGGAGTGTGATTTTGCAGTTCAAAGAGGTTAGAACGAAAACTTCATACAGAAAACCAAGTTTATACATACTTTAAAAAAGAAAAAAAACTTTATACAGAAAACCAAGTTTTTCTAGACCTGCTTTTGTCAATTAAAATACACACTTCAAAGCTCTTCTCATTCTATACAAACAGCTTCTCCTGAAGCGTTGAGTTCTTATAACGGTAGATATGATTCCCCCTTTAACCCATCACTTAACCAATAAACCATATGAGCATCATGCAAGACTCAAACCCATATTGACCTCATGAGCATTAATCGAACAAGTGTTCATTCATAATACAAGAAAAGACGATAACGTACAACTCTAAAGATCAAAGCATATGATTAATAGTCAGCAAGTGAATAGATTTAGATCAAGAGCGTCATTCCAAGCCTTTCACATTCTGTACGACAACAGTTTTAAAGATCCATGAAAAGATTTTGAATGTACTTATTGGCAAACAAACTTCTATCAAGAATCCAATCTTCAATCATGGCTTGAGCATTCACAGCCTGATCGGTTGACACAAAATGCCCAGCCGCTAACACCACCACATGGCTCAAATTATCTGACTTTTGCACGTAACCTGCAAGACCACCATTCACATACCAGATATCTCTTTCTGCATCCAAAAACTTCTGAAGCCCCTCCCATTTCATCTTCTTCATCCAAGATTCAGCAGCAAACACCCCATCTCTCAAATCACACTGCCCTTGAAACAGCAATAACTTAGTGTTCTTAACAAGGTACTCCACCTTGAACCTCACACTTTTCATCACATCTGAATGCAATGCTGCCCCAACCACCTTACTACACTTCTCAAAAACCATAGATTCATCCACTCCCAATGCCTTTTTAACCTCTGGGTTCTTCAAGAACTCTTCTACCCAAATCGAATCATAAGGACGATACCTCCTGAAGTCAAACAAAGTAGCTAAACCGGTGGCGTTTTGTAGAAAACTGAACACATTGTTTCTTGCATCAGTAGCATCACTCCAGTTACCAGCTTTTGTTAACTGAATAGCCTCGAATTGAAGCCTCTCCAATTGGGTTTTCTGTTTTTCATTGATTAAACCATGATAGTAACTTTGCAGAGCATGAGTGCCCACTTGGGTTTCGGGATCGGTTAACCCATTTCCAATTGCCAATCCATGTAAATTGACTCGTTTTGAAAGGGGTAAAAGGGGGTTTCTTTTAAGAATGTAGTACCCAATTGATGGCACGTACTTTCCAGCGTAACTCTCACCTGTAATGTAAATTGGACGATATCTAAACGACGGGTCTAAAGCAATAAACTTCCTGATCGCAATGAACAGATGCCTTGCTACAGATTCTTGGTCTGTTGGGATCTCTTCCGGTGTTGAAGCGATACTAAAGCCGGTTCCAATCGGATTATCAAGAAAAAGAAGTCCAAATATTCGGTTCCAAGAACCGGGATTAGGTTGGAGCTCAAGGTGTTCGACGTTTTGCTTCAGAGAAGGTGTTAGTCGCCATGGACCAAGTTCGTAGAAATTCCCGGTCATGGAGGAGCAACCAGGTCCACCTTGAAGCCAAATGACAAGTGGGGTTTGAGAAAGAGAAGTGTCATCAGGATTTTGGGCTTCATAGAACGCATAAAAAATGGCTGAGCCGGTGGTGGAATTGACCGGGAGGTAGCCGGATTTTGTAGGGAGAGCTTCTTTGGGGAGCGTAGAGGCGGATGAGTGCGTATGTCGGTGGAAGAGGAGTGTGAGGAAGAGGAGGAGGTTGAAGGGCGTTGACTCCATTGAAGACAGATTTATGAACTCGATATGATCACTTTCTATTTTTGTAAAGCTCATGGTGGTGCTGACGGAAATAAATATACCCACGTGATGTTGAACGAGTTTCCTTTATTTATTTATTTATGGTCACGTGGTTACTTCAAGATATAGAAATGATGTATATTTTGAAACAAGTGTATTAGAGTTTCTTTGGTCTTAATTTTGTTAGGAGATGGATCCCTTACACTAACACCATTAAAGAAACATCCCTTAACTCCAAGGATAAATAGATCTTTTTAGTTTTGCCTTATTTTTAAATTAAAATTAAAAGATTATATATTATTGTAATACATATATATATATATATATATGCATACACACACATATATATACATATAGGGGCAGGTTCAAATGAAAACCATGTCATTCTAAAAAACCGTGTAAACCAAAATCGACTAATAGAAAAATTCCATTCTTTTTTAATTAAATTTAATCAATAAGGTCACTTTGGTCATTTTCATTATTTTTTTCATAAATAAAGAAGTTATTAAGAAATATTAAATAAGGAAATTTAATAATGGAAATTATATAAATGGAATGACTTAAAGATTTTAATATTTTATAATATTAAAAATTGATTTTTTTTTATTCAATGAAGCTGGAAACATTCATTAAGATTTTATCTTGTTATGTAATGAATGAATATTTTGAGGTTCATTGTATAAAAAATTACCAGTTATGAACATGTTTCATATGAAAAGGTTTTAAAATGAAAAGGTTTCATATTACAATAGCATAATATATTAATGTTCAAATGAAAAGGTTTTAAAATGAAAAGGTTTCATATTACAATAGCATAATATATTAATGTTCATATGAAAAGGTTTTAAAATGAAAAGGTTTCATATTACCATAGCATAATATATTAATGTTCATATGAAAAGGTTTCATTACGAAGAAACGGTTGCATATTATATATATTAAATGCATAATGAAAAGGTTTCATCATAATGAAACGGGTGCATAATATATTTCATTCTTTATGCAATTAATGTTCATATCAGAAGGTTTCATTATAAAATGTTTTATTTGCTTCTTTTATTTATATTGTACATGTTCATCTACTTCCAGGTCATGATGATGAAACATATTCATTTTCAAGTTCATGCACTCGTTTCATGATGAAACATGTTCATGCACTCGTTTCATGATGATGAAACATATTCATTTTCAAGTTCATGCACTCGTTTCATGATGAAACATGTTCATGCACTCGTTTCATGATAATGAAACATATTCATTTTCAAGTTTCATGGTGATCCATGTTGCATTGTGTGTGATGATGATCCGTGTATTCGTATACTTGACAATGAAACGAGTTCATTTACAAATGTAACGTGTGCATGTCCCTGAAACGGGTTCATAATGTAATTGAACAGTTAGTCATGAACAGCTTTAAGACATGAACAATGATGCTGGAGGTGAATGGTTAAGTAGATGAAATGCTAAATGAAACCGGTGCATATACAAAATCGATTCATCATTGCAAAATATGAATGAGTTTCAATATCAAATGAGGATAATGAAACTCGATATTGCAAAATCATAATATTTAATAAGTGTATTAAACAATGAAATATGATCATTTATTTTAATTTTTTATGAAATTATTCATTATACATTAGTGAATATGTTGTGTTTTGATTTTGATATAACTTATTGATRRATATTATTTTAAAAAATGTTAACATTAAAATAGTATATTACTTCACAAAGTGAATCAATTTCATTAATAATATAATTTACCTGATATGGTTGCCTTGAATAAAAAATACTATGAATTAAATTGATTTAAATGCATAGACATTAATGTTACCTTTGTTTACCGATTCTACCCTTATTGATGAAATAAAATAAATRTTAATTATTTTTTAATTTTTAATTTCCTAAAATAAAGTAATGTAATCTTAGCCATTGATCWAAAAAATGAATGGATGAGATTGGTTTACACGGTTTTTACAAATGAGTCAAGTTTTTATTTGAACGCTCCTCTATACATATATATACGTATATACATACACTGTTGGTCCCTATGGAGCTTGATGACAATCACCGCCACCCCAAACGGCCACACTTTTCATCTCTGGCCAGACCTTTTTCCCCGTCCACACACAACACAAAATTAGAGTCTTATATGGCAACCATCATTCCACCCTCTCTTCCTGCAAACACTATTATTCCAACCCCCCCCCCCCCCTTTTCATTGCTTCGATCATCGGTCCATACAGGCCCGACCCTGGGCAGTGCAGTCCATGCGACCGGATAGGGCATCAAAGTCCAAAGGGGCATCAAATTTTTATATAGTATTAGTTTTGGGTTTTGGAGTTTAATAATTTGAGACTTGGGCTTTCATTATAAAACAGAAGCTTAACTGACCATGCATGTTAATGACAAACCCAAGGACCTGAATCGGTGACAATAGGATAGACGCATTATAGTTCACAAGACGATTGGCTTTGGCGATTTGAAATTGATGATTTCTATTGTTCTTTAAGTGTTCGACTTTTTCGATTTTCGACAATGATGTTCCAATTCCAGAAGAAGACGATTAACGGTAACGAGTCTAACGACTGTCCATGGGCGATGGATCGATCTTGATGATCAGTCGATGCAGTCTCGACTGCCCGACTATATATACTCGAATACACGATTGTTGATTAATCTCTCAAATCTCAATCCTTCATTGTTTCTCAAATCTCAATCCTTCAAATCTAGATATAGTCGATTGCATTTGTATTTCTTCATATATGGATTTTGGAACTGGAAGTAGAACTGTGGAAGTCGACTGCATTGTTTCTCAAACCAAGATATGATTTTGTTTCTAAATTCTAACATAGTAACATTTAATTGATTAATTTTGACATTATGTATTCATTGTATTTCCAACTGATACAAGCTCTCTAATGGTAATGGTTGCTGATTTGCTGTCCAATATTGTAATGGTGGAAACTTGGAAAAAAAACCCTAGTTTTAAGAAGATGAAATTAAAACTTACTTGTCAATGGTTTCTAGTGATTTTGGTATCAAAATGTCAACATTTATCTTGTCTTTATTATAATATCAAAAGTCCCATGAAAAACTGGTTGGAAATTGACCAAAAATGACTGGAAAAATCAAGAAGAAAGCAAAACAAAACTGGGTCAAGTTCACTTTTTTTTAGACTGTCCATTTGATTTTGGTCATATGTTTTATTACTACTAGGTTCATTTTCATTATTAGTTGGGGCTTAAACAGAACACGACATGAGATTTGTTATTTTGGAGCATAGTGCATACTACACAGGTTATCACTTTCTCACTTTGCTCTTTTGAATTTGGTTTACTATTTAGGTTAAAAATAAATAACTAATTATAATTTTTTTTGCCTTTTAAGTTGCAGATATTGAAGTAAAGTTCTAGCATACTAATTTCAACTTGGAAAAGGGAAAAACAGAAAAAAGGAAGCACAAGTTTAATCCAGGATTTATCCTTCTGCGTTTGACTAATATTGCTTGGGTATTCTTTTCTTTATTTTCATGAGATATTAAACATGTTTCCTATATCACAACCATCATGTGCACAAAATAGAAAAAGAAAGAAAAGACAACAAGAAATTGCTCAATATTTATAGGAATCGTTAATTCGATATTTTGTTAGGCATGAAAATGTGTCTGAAAGTCCCATCGGAAATGTTTTTGAAAATCCTACTGAAAATATTTCTGAAAAATAGGCATAGGGGCATTTTTTTAGCATCTTCGCACGGGGCATCAAAAACCTCAAGAATGGTACTGGGTCCATATTAGTGCATACTAGCATTTACCCCAATCATCATTTTTTATGACTTATCATTTTCTGCAACTATGACCCTGTTTGAATCTCCACTCTTTTCTCTGGTCATCTAACACATAGACCCCTCACAGTCCCCCGGTCATCTAACACACACATACACAGAGTTCGCTCTGATAAAAAAAACCCACCTCATAGTCCCCTCTAGTCCTGAGTGTGGTGATGCAGTGATGGCTGGAGTTTGAAAAATAGAGAACAGAGTTGAGGGATCCAACGAATCCCTTTTTTTTCATATGTCATCACTATCTTCATGAGTTGCGAGTGGATTTTCGATTCTTCCAACATTTTATGTCGCAAGTAAGTTTTGCAAGTGAAACCACAAGGGTGGTGCCTGATTGGTTTGAGCTTGGCTCCAAAAATCAAAAGTACCAGGAGATCTCAGGTTCAAATCCAAGGAGGAATAAAAATCCCCTTGTGGCCACGGAGTCAAATGCGATGACTTCGGGCTATCTGCAAAGCAGGTGGTCGCCCTGGGATTAGTCGGCTCGCATAGCAGGTTGAATATCCAGGTTAATAAAAAAAAAGTTTTGCAAGTGATATCTACAAGTAGAGAAAGATGGTTTAGGTGCAGGAATGGGACGAAGGGGTTCACCGGTTTTGGTGCAGGAAAGGAGTAGGGATGGCAAAAAAAACCGAAACCGACGGTGAAAACCGAAAACCGAACAATTCGGGTCGGTTTCGGGGACCTCTTAACGGGGACGGGGCGGGGATCGGGGGAGTTTCGGGGGATTATATCGGGGACGGGGACGGTACTCACCGACCCGTACCGGCCCGATAATATATATATATATATATATATTAATATATTTAAATTTCACAATTAAAATTTTATAAGCCCAAGCTTCTTAAGCCCACCCAATTACGCAAAACAAATGACCAGACCATGTCCATTGACTTCAGCCATCAGCCTTCACATTTCACTCTTGACCTCCGTCTAAGGTCCAACCCTCAATTCAACCGAATGAACCCTGTCGCCTCCTAGCCTCGCCTCTCGCAGTCTCGCTCTCTCCTAGTCTCTGCAGTCACTCACGCGCATGCCGGCCGACCTGACGAGTGACGACCTCTCGCTGACTCGCTCTCTCCGACGGTCCTAACGCCGACGGCTCTCCTACATACTAACGTCGGCGGCCTCCTACAGTCCTAACGTCGACGGCCCTCCTGCCTGACTCCCTGGCCCTCTGTGTTTTTTCAGATCTGTTTTTGGGTTCGGGTTATGGTTCGGGTTGGGGTAAAACTAATGGGTAACAGTTATTCTGCTCTTAACGGGTACCCAATGGGGATTGGGGAAACTGCGGGGACCCGATGGGGATCCCCGATAAGATCCCCGACAGGGATCGGGACGGTTATGGGGATGGTTATGGTTATCGGTTTCGGGGACTCTAAAAACCGGCCCGAACCCAGCCCGTTGCCATTCCTAGAAAGGAGGTCGGAGATGACATGGGTGAGGAAGACGATTTTGATGAAAGAGGAACGGTTGGAAGAGGGATATGTGGCAAATGTTTAGTGGGTGTAAAATTCTTTTTAAAATTTTAATAGAAAAACAAAGAGAGGGGTAAATTTGACAAAAATGCCCATGAGTTAACATATTGGATTTAACGGTGTTAATGGCATAGGGACATTGAATATACTTATTTTTGAAAGAGGAGCCCGACCTGAAACGAAATGCAAACCATAGGGACCCCAGTGTACTTATGTCAAAATAAGGACATATACAGATTTTGAACAAACCACAGGGACCAACGGTGTAATTTATTCATTTATTTATGTGATGACAATACATAATACAATGGAAAAAATAAAACGAACCTAAACTAAAATAATAATGGAAAAGCACTTAGGGGCCGTTTATCTAAACGCTTACCCTGTAAGTGTTTATCACCAAGAGTCAACACTCCAATTTACTTTACCAAGTAAGTTCGGTATTGTATGCAACAATTTATCCGATAAACAATTATTGGGTAAAAGTCATCATCATTACTTACCGAGTAAGATTTTTCATCTTTATCATCGTTTTTACCAGGTAAGATTTTTGGGTCTTGCCATATTCTTCCAATAAGGTAAATGATTCGATAAACACTTACCAGATAATCGTTTAGTAAACGATCTCTTAATGTTGGATTGACACTACATAAATACTTAAAAAATATTAGTTTAGTAATTTGAAAAATATATCAAGGGACATTTTACAAAACCCACTTCTAGAGAAAGTCATTAAGTTTAGTAACTATAAAATTTCAAAAACACATAAGAAAGTTAGTTTAGAGTAAGCTATGATTTTCGTCCTTATAATTTATATATTCTTGGTCCTTACTATATTCATCCAGTGAGATAATGTTACTTGGTTTCATCATCTTTGGCGGAATTGACAACGACAACAACTTGTTGGGCATCGGACTTAAAGATAACTCTGTGATACCCAAGGTTTATTGCCAATGGCACAACTTCTGAAAGGGCAAGGGCCTCACACTCGTTTACAAATGGAATCCCCGTTAGAGTAGATGTACAAGCAGCAACACAAGAGTGAAAAGACTTATTTGCATCCTGAAAAATCGTAGCTAGCCCAACAAAGTTGTTGTTTTTGAAGGTGGCAGCATCCGTGTTGCACTCCAAGAAGTTCAAAGGGGGTCTATGCCATCGTGAACAAGAGGTTGAGATCGTCAATGGACCTGGTTAGGTTTCGAGAGTGCCTTGGCCTTCAACCAATCCCCATGCACTTTCCCAAGCCGTTGCACAAGGTTTGGGCCTCTGTTCTCAAGTTGTTATTCCGCAACACACCATTTCTGTGTCTCCGTATGCTCCATAAAATCATGAGGAGTTTTTCGTTGATTGGCTCGAGACAGGTGTTTAGCATAGAGAAAACGTATCGGAGAAATCATTTTCAATCTTTATGAAGGATGTTAGCATTCCAAAGTTTCAACCAGTTTCTCGTAACTTAGTAGTGGGACTTTGGTTTAAGAACCTCTGTTGCCAACTGATACCCGCTTTTGACCGTGTAGTCACCATTTGAGCTTCCATGCCACATAATTCTATCAGCTACATTCCCCGTTCTAGGCGGTAGATTACAAATCTCCTTCATGTCCTATGGGTTAAAAAGCTCCATAAGCATATCTTGTTCACCCATTGAGTCAAAAAGCCCATTTTCAACATGATTTGTCACAAGTATATGCTTTGTTGATGTCGATTTTCAAAGCTACCTCTTCGTTCTCTTTTTAGTGTTCCTTTTCATTCGAATGCAAGCATAACATTAGCTGTGATCAATCTGCCTTTAATGAAGGCCGATTGGGTTTCAGAAACCATTTCGGATACAACTCTTGGAGACGGGTTGCTAGTTCCTTTGTAAGAATTTTAAGGGCCATGTTGTAGAGTGCTATTGGACGAAGATCCTTCATGGTGCATGGATCGTTACATTTAAGAATTAGGGTATGACGTACGGTGTCATTTACGGCCATAGGTAACTGTCATTGACGCAACCAGCTAATGCATGTAGCAAAGACTTCGTCTCCCAGTATTGACCAAAACCTTTGAAAGAACCACGTGTTAAAACCATCTGGTCCTGGGGCTTTATCGGGATGCTTTTGGAATACTGCAACTATGGACTCCTGTTTGGTGAAGGAGGCTATCGACAAAACATTGTCTGTGTCATAAATAGGGTGTTTGAGATTGTTTATTTGAAATGACTTATGTATTTCTACAAAAGCATTTATCAACTTATTATAAGTCAGAAGAGTTTAACATCTTTAAAAACCCCTTATTACCGATATGGCACCCGTATAAGTTGTTTATCTGAACACTAAAAAATGCTTATTACCGGTATCATATCGGAATAAGTCAATAAGTTGTTTTTATAAACAATTTCAAACACCCCCTTAGGTTGAACAAGGTGACTAAAAATGTCCGTTTTGGAGTCATGAAATAGTTTCCTTGATATTTTTTAAATGCCGTTGAGTATTTGATGAAATCACATATCTAGTATATTTGATTTTATAAATCATGAGAAATGCTTATACTTGGGGATTTTGGACATTTGAATAAATAAATCATATAGTATTTTGATGATTTGATATATAAATAATGAAGATTATTTGACGTAAATGCACTTTTAGTGTATTTGGTTTTTATAAATCATCCAGGAGTTACATATTATTAAGTTATAAAATATTCTAGAAGTTGAAATCGTATGTTTTTTTATTTTGGAGATGATTTATCCCAACAATTGTGAGTTTTTGATTAAATCACATTTTGCAGTACGAGTTTGCATAAACATGGGGTAAATGTTTATTTTGACTTATGTTGATCTTTATTGTGTATTGACATGAGTTGTTGAGCTTATTGGTTTGATTTCGACTCACATAAGTTTTAAGGACAGTTGTCCAATTTTAAATTGCTCAAAGTTGAGTTTTGGACGTTATTTTTGTTGCATATTTATTTGGGAATTGCATGTTTTGAGTGTGTTGGTCATTAGTTTTGAGTCATATAATTCAAACCGTAATGTATTGAATCTATAGGCATAAAAGTCACTCGTGTTTGGTAAGTCGGGAGTTTTGATGCCCTCACTTGGGGCCGATCATTCCTTGACATATGTGAAGGATTTGAATTCCATTTCGTTGCAAACGTAACGAAATTTATAATTTTAATTTATAGATTCAAAAAAGAACATCTAAATCCAATTTAACCAATACCATCACCCTCGACCACCCCACCCCCGTGGCTCCACCACTGCTGCCGCCAACATCTCTCGCCACCACTGTCGTTGTTGCCACCACCATAATTCATTATTATCATCATTCTACCAACGGCACATATCTCACCCCACCCACCACACCGTCAACACCGACACTACCACACCATTATTATCGTCGTCACTAAAAGAATTTGGTTTTTTAGAATTTTTTCTATATTTTGATAAAATTTAACCCAAATAAATGAATCGTACCATTTTTTGGGTCAACCGGTTACTGCAGAGGCCGGGTTAGAATAGGCGAGGTTCAGAAGGTGTGGGTTCTCTATTGCTCTTACCCTTTCTCGCGCGCGCATTAAGTCGAACAACTGGTCGGTTCCCAAATCCTTTCAAGTTTGAAATCAAGGCTTATGGTGTAAGCAAAATCTTGTTGAAATCAAGACTTTAGGAATTTCAATTCTGAATAATCCGTTCATAATTGCTCCTGTTGCCTGAATGGCTAGATAAATTTTCGTAGACGCCATTGTCAGCCTCGAAGTAAAAGCTGAAGTTTGTAAGTTTGGGTCTCTTTTTTGATTTCACCTTTTGTTATCGAATTGATTATTGGTTTCCATCTCGCTTGATGACGTTCATTTACTTGCTGCCATTATGCTTTCATGCTTTTGTAAGTTTGTTGGGAAATACCAACGTCCATATATATAAATGCATCACCAGACTGCTGTTCTTGTTATTTTTTACATTTTATTTGCCCTGATTTACACTTTGCTATGCCGAGTCAGGATAGGATTGTTAGTACACGTGTTCGCATGGTTTTGTGAGTTTTTTTGGTGTTATAAGTCATTCAACTACAGTGGTTGGTACTAGTATGGGTATACATGGAATATCTATAAAACGTTATTAATTGAAGTGCCAGTCCCACATTGTGTAATATTCAGTCTATTCATTACTAAAAGAGATCCAAAGGTGAATTCTATTGTTCCTAATTGGTTGCAAGATAGATGCCCAAAACATTCTTGTATAATATTAAAGCACCATGAATGCTTTTTAAGTTTGCAAGGGAAAGTCTGACCCACAATGCTGACTAGAGGGAAGCAAAATGTAGAATTGGAAAAAGCCCACATCTGTTCCATCAATAGGAGGAGATACAGTGATCAAAGCATTCAATTAAGAAGTTGAACTTTTCTATTTCCTGGCCATGGAGTTCTAGGGAATTTTCTAAGCCGAACTGGCTACTACCGATCAACAAGAAAGATCCATATCAACACTAATGCAATAAGTGCCAGAACAGACCACTACCTATCCCAACTATTTGCTTTTTTTTTCAAGATATACAAACTTGCGAAGTTTATGATGGCTTTCTTGAGTTACCACATATTTCTGTTGGGTTTATGAGATTAGTAATAGTATTCATTATGAAAGATGATTAGTAATAGTATTCAATGGTGGCTCATGATTTTCTTGCTGTTAATAGTCTATTTCGGGAAACTGCTCCGAGTCTCTATGAGAAAGAGAAGAAATTGATCCTAGACCTACGAATAGATTTATTGCAAGCTACAAATTTTGACCTTGTAACCTATCACAAATTTGTAGGTTTACATTGCGTTGTTGTGGATTTTATCAATATCAAACAACACGGCTTCGAAACTTACCGTAGATTATGTGACTAAACTTAACACATGATTCCTTCATACCAAATTAGTTTAGTGAATGGGTATCCTCTCCGAGTTGTTTCTTTAAAGGTTGATGTTATCTGTTCTTTTGGTTTTTGCTAGCTTTTTTCTTGCATGCATTTAGTTATTTGCCGACTACTAGAATGAATAAAATCTTCTCTTTCTCTAATCAAGCAACTTTTAGCATGCAGTGTTTAAGTGAAAGATGCTTGGCACATGCAAGTATTTTTCAAGCTGCACGAGGATATAGGCATGTTTTGGGTAGAAAAATGAGGTACATTCGATGGAATGAAAATCATCTTTGTGATCTTTGGGAGTAAGCGAACTGATTAGGTTAAAGTATTAATCTATTGAATGCTTGCAGGTTTAATGGTCTTCTGTTGTGCAATATCTCAAAATATTTCTCTCCATCTAAACATAAATTAACAGAGAATCTATTTCATCAAGTAGATAGTTATGGCAGAGCAAGAAGGTTGGACCAGCGAAAACTGTTCAGTAAGGTGTGTGTTCACCAGACAATTTTGTATGTATGCTACGGCCCCAGCTTGATTTGTTATCTGTATTTTCATTGTTGTGTTATCAATTGTTAGCTGTTATGCATGCAAATGCAATAAGACCTCTTCCAATTCTTTCTAAAGGGTGTTAGTACTGTTACTGAAAGGTTGACCTGATAACCAGACACCGCATTTTATCGCTTAATAAATGTTCTTTAATCAACTTGTAATTCTGTTTTAGTGGTGATTATCTTAGTACTTATCAACTAAGGATTATGCAACTGTTTGTTCCTCTTTGTTTCAATCTCTTTCAATGTTACTCGTTAACGAGATATAAGTATCATATTAACGGTGTTTTCTCTTTTCTTTTTGCTGCATAAGATGTATGACATTGATTTATTACTTTGTAATCAGTATTTATTTTATTTGCAAAACTTGTAAAGATATTAACAGAATATCATGAAATGGCTTCTATGTTTGAGCATTCTTATCAGTGGAAACTTGAATTTTAGGAGAACCGTATTAGTGGCTTATCAGTATGACTCAGATAGAGAATGCCACCCTTTCACCCTTGATATGAAATCTTCTTCAGTTCTTCCTACTCTGACTTCTTTGTCCTACGATACCTGTCAATCTATTTCTTCCTTTGTTAACAGAACAAGTTTGTCCAAATGGATGATAAAAGTGAAAAAGCTTGAATGGCTTTGGTCTTTGCTAAATGCTAACAGCACCTGATATTTCTGTCTTCAGATTTTCGTGTTTGATGTGTAATTTTGTAGTTACTTTAATACGCTAAGGAACTTATCATATCCTTGAAGCCTTCTGAAGGCATTCTTTTCTGCATCCTTTTCACACTTTATGTTTTAACTTATCCAAGTAAAGTTAATTTGAATATCATTTCATTTGCTTGTAGGTATCCCCCGCTATGCCTCATGATAGTTTCGATGAACTCTTTGATGAAGAAAAAGATGATTTTGATGCATCTTTGGCACGGAAACAATTTCCTTCTATCATGTTAGGGCGATCTAGACCAGTAGATTTATATGATGGAAGTTCAGATGGCCCTGAAACTGAGCTTCTTCATAGCTCCATTGGTACGGAAATGGTGGACCCAGATGTGCTGTATGACTCATGGGGTTCAACAACAGATGAGTTCAATCAATTTTCTTCCAACAAAACCAAAAGTAAATCGAATCAGGGTAGCCTGGGTTCAACATGCTCTCCATCAATTTCTCAGAATGAGAAACCTTCATCAAAAGAAGAAAACTTTTCTGCCTTGCCGTCATTTACTAAATCCCAAAATTCACAAAAGTCAGATCTTCAATGTGCTTTTGATGATCCTTCTAATAGAGGTGCACTTCAGGATCAACCAGACACTGCACCATTTGAATTGATACTTGATAAATCTATCAGTTGTATACCTGCATTAAGCAAGAAGCTGTGCAATCAGTTGGAAAACTCTGGTTTGCCTACGGTGGGTTGTAGGAAAATAAGTAAATGTTGATACTGTTGTTGCTTGGTCTTCCCATAAATTACCTTGTCTTCTTTTGTGGTCATGGATAAAATTTCTTTTTTGCTGATCTGTAGATAAGGAAGTTGTTGAGTCATTTCCCTCGGACATATGCTGATCTACAGAATGCACAGTTTACAATTGATGACGGGCAGTACCTGATATTTGTTGGAAAAGTTTTATCATCCAGGTTAGAGTTTGTCTTGATAACTATCTTGGTCCACTCTTTGTTAATAATATTTTGGGTACAATCTGTTGTCTTTTACGGATGATGTCATTCATTGATGAACATGATAAATTATTTGAACATCTGTGTTGCTTAGTGGTTGATGTTAGAAGAAATTGCAATAAAATTATCTTCTCATCCATGTGTGTGTATGTGTGGTGTACATCTTTACAAAGGAAGTCCATTAATAACGAAGTAGGAGGAATTATTGATAAAGATGGCTCTATGAACCAACTTGCCATTTAAAGAGGAGTCATGATGTTTCAAGAGAAAAATGCTTAGAACTCCCTCTGGAGCACCCTCATTGGGAAGGAATTCCATCTAAAAGTTGAATAGGCAGAAAAGAAGCTTTGGTTTGTCTGTAAACTCTTTTTCTCTGTTCGTTACAATGCACAGTAAGGGGTGCTTCCCTCGTCTAATTACTGATTTTTTCATTTAGCTTCATTTTATTTGTCCTTTCTTTTTGTTTAAATTGTATGGAAACCAACAGTAGGTGCTCTTGGTGTGGCTATTTACGTCAGTGCTTTAGCATGTTATCAAACAGTTGCTACTTGAGATACCAGGAGGTTGAGTGTTTCAATATAGAGCATGGAGTAAGTACTTATGATGACAAATGGTCAAATACCTGTTCATAGATTTCTATTGGTAGATATTATACTTGCTGGGTGTTGCCCTTTTATCAATTCATTACAATCTTCTGGTTATTGGAAGCTGCATCATAGAAAAACATTTATTTTGTTTTTCTGTTTTGATGTATTTATATGATATTGAAATGTAGGGGAATCAAGGCAAGCTGTTCTCTATCATTTCTTGAGGTGATTGTTGGTTGTGAGGTTGCTGAAAGTGGTTCAGCTTCTGCATGCATGGTTTCTGAAAAGACTAGTGGAAGCAAGAGAACAATATATCTGCACTTGAAGAAATTTTTCCGCGGGACTCGTTTTACGAATCAATTTTTTTTGCGAAGTATCCAGGAGAAGCAGAAAGCAGGAGACATTGTATGTGTCAGCGGGAAGGTGAGTTTTTAAGTTTCTGAATGTCATATATTAAATTGTTTCACGAGTTCTACTTTGTGGAGGTTTGCTTTCCTGTCTATTATCATAGGACTTACAGTGCTAAGGCAGTACCCATTGAAAGGGAATTATGGTTTAGTTTTAGTATCATTTGATGCTTCTACATTGCAATTTGATTCGTGTCCATTAGTTTTATCTAATCTGTGCAAAATAAATCAGTGTGTTGAATGAAAGAAAGAGGTTGCAGAAGAGAAACAATAATAATCAGCTTTTATACAGATTGTCTTGATATTTTTACAGACAATATAAAACCCGGTTGTCAGCATTAGGTTTTGCTCGTTTGTTGTGGACTTGATTCCTCCACAATCTTTTAGATTTGATCATCATTTTGACTGATCAAAATTAATATTAAAGGTTCTATATAAGCTCTTCCTAATTGACAGGCACGATGCTTTTATGACCACTAAAACAGATGGCTCAAAAACACTGAATGAAGTGGGCCATGGACTTCAGCTAGACTTGGCATCTGAAATTTATTTATTTCCACCCGGTCAACTGGTGGGAAGCCATTATCATGTTTTTGCAAACCAATCAAGCACGTACTTCTTCTAGGGGGATGGATTACACTTCCTTAGCCCACTTATCTAAAGTGGATCAAACTTATAACCATTCAAAGTCCCAAGTTGGAAGCGATGTTATTTTACTACTTGGTGTATCTTTTAGGCGCTAATATACCATCAGCTAGAGGTATTGGCCAAAGGGTCAATGGCCCAGAGGCACCTGGGTTACCAACTGATCCCAACCTCCTCGGAGGTCAAGGGTTCAAGCCTCCCCAAAGGTGGAGAGTGTGTGAAATATTATATACTTAAAAAAACAAAAGGTATTGGCATGGAGTTATTGCTCTGTCTTAAATTCTAATGGAAAATACTAATACGATAGATCGATACATGGTAGTAAATTTCTACACTTTTTGGAGTTAGGAACCGGGCAGGCTTTTGTAGCATGAAGTGAGATCATGCAGAATTTTTACTTCATGTTCCTTTGCGTAGGTGAGGACTATGTCTATGCGAACCAAAGATCATTATGAAATGAGGGAATATAGTCTGGACTTAATCCGAGATGATGATGAWGAATCTGCCTGTGCTGAAGGGAGGCCATATCCAATTTACCCTTCAAAAGGTGGTCTCAATCCAAAGTTACTTGGGAACATTATTGCAAGGTTTTGATTTCCACCTTCCGCATCCAATCAGTAATATTCTGTGATCTGCAGTTCTGCACTTGTTCTTTTATCGCATTCAAAGTTCAGTTGATGAGCTCTTTATAGCTAGTAGATGATATTAGTAAACTGACGAATCTTTTAGTGAGGTTCTCTTAGAGGAGGCTGTCCAAATATCTTGATTAAATTGACTTCGTTCATATTCTATTTATCTTTGACTGCTTTTACTATGTTGGCACTATACATAAGCCTCCATCTGTCCTTATGTCATGTGATCTCTGCTATGCACAGGGATGCGTTTGTTTAGATTTTCATTCCTTCATACCATCCGTAAGGTTATGCTAGGATTATTTATGAGATGTCTCTGAGAGTCTGAGGACAACAGTACTTCAAAAATAGGTGAGGATATTACCTTATGATGAGTTGAGGAACAAAAGGACGACTTTTGGTTTAACGGTATCAGATGCAGGACAGTTATCTTGTCAACTTCTGGGCTATGGTAGATGGATCATATGTCTTCACAAATTTTGCACCCTTGTTGCACATTTTTACAAAGAATATATGATCTTTATCTTTCTTAGTACACAATTAATTTACATATTAGATACATAGGAATGTAGTTCTACTATGTCACTTTGTCTTAAAACCATTTTACTTTAAGAAGCATGTTGCTTGATCTCTATTTGTCATGTGGGTGGGGGGGGGGGGGGGGGTTACTAGTTTTTCAGGAGAAGGTATCTTTGATCTGTTTATATATTCACTTTCCTACTAAAACCAGATTGAGTTTTTTTTGTGCAAGTAACTTGATATGCAATGTTTCATTTTAAGAGTAGTTGCTATACTGTGGTTTTCCTGTTTGAGCCTTGGACTTATGGTTGACTTGTCACTGGAGTAGGGGTCATTCATTTCTCTTCTGCTTTTTTGATCTTTCTATTCTATTATCTCCAATAAGGTTCCATATTGCATGGTGACACCTTGAGTTCTCAAAATTTTTACCAACTTTTGTCATAACCCATCTTAGTTAAACCAAACCAAACATACACACTTTATCCCACCCTGAAATAAGGTGGGGGGATGGCATGCATAAGAGTAGAGGGGCTGTTCCATGCATATCCCCGACTAGCTGAAAGTTTTAGAAAGTTGAAGATTTTGACAAGTAGTCGAAGAGCTTGATAAAATGGATATTCTTTTTTTGTATGCAAAAAGGCAACAAGAAAACGAAGAATAGTAGAACAATACATGCAATAAAGAGACAATAGAGAAAGTACAGTAAACTAAGCGACTTAAAAGGATGCTGCCTCTAAACTGTCCTCGGACATTGTTAACCTACATGTCGGATCTATAAACTTCCCCCAACCCACCCTCTACCTCTCCATCCTCCTCCCCCTTTCTGCACTATTCCTTACAGATAATCTGCGACCCTAATCCCTCCAGGAACTCTTATCAAAGGTCATGTCATTGGATTGGTCTAAGATATGCCCTGCCTCAACTCGAAGAGGTCTAAGGCTGCCATGTCCCGTGTCTGAACCTGCTTATCGCACGTCCTCCTTGGCATGCCCCTCCTTCTCATCCTGTTGCTGTTACGCTCTATACCCTCCGTACCGCCTTACTGGTGCTGTTATTTGTCTCGTGTGACTGTGCCCAAACCATCACAATCTTCACTCCAACAATTTATTTGTGATAGGTGCAACTTCTAGATCTGTCTCGTAGATCTCTTTCGGTATCCTGTCCAACATGGCCCGAACAAGAGGTCCCATCTCAACATCTTCATTTCTGCAACTTCCAACTTCTTCTCATGCGCCTTCTTTATGGTCAACACTTGAGACCCATGCAACATATGTAACACCCTAGTTGTTATATATTTTAGATTTCAGTGTTTTAAGCATTAAATACAAGTATTATGATCAAATTAAGAGCATTAAAAAGGCACCAACAACATTAGCATCTTTATATCATCATATTTTGAACGACAAGTCGCTTACAAGTAACTTACAAGGCAAAGCATGAGAAATCAAACCTAAATATTTGACAAAGCAAGTCTAGTAGCATGACAAAGTAGGCTAGTTATGAGTTGTTAAGGCCAGAAGTATGTGTTGGCAAAGTTATTGATAAAAAAATTGGTCTAGTATGCATGACAATTAAAAGCTAGAAGCATGATTCAAGATTCTTTTATCTTAAGCATGAGGTGTTAAACTCTCATAATACCTTTACCATGAGAGCGAGAAGAACAAGTAGTTAATGCATTGTAATCACCTATAAATAGTGGTTGAGATGAAACCATTATTTCCATACCGAAGTAAGAAATCACTCTCATTACAATACTAAATTCGAAGTGAGAAATCAAAAGAAAAGCTAGGTGCAACAGAAGGTGAGTATGTTGTAAGATTTACTGTGATACATGTATGCTATATAAATGTATTTTATGCATTATGAAGAATTTGATAAGATGTTTTGGCATGTTTGCTTTACATGAAATGAAGATATGTTTATATGTGTTCTTCACATAAGGCATGAAAGTTTTATGCATGTTATATATGACCATAAATATCTAACATACGGGATATAGATAGAAGGGACGTCTTGCAAACGGACCTTATGGGGCAGCCTTTATGGACCCTGGGGTTAGCAAACCTCAAGGCAAGTATGACATACTTACATGTCGCAAGTGAGATCTCAAAAGAGTATTTTTATGCATGATGAAGAGTTCTAGTGAATTATTATTCACAAATTGATAAGTATTATGAAAATTCTTTATTAATGAAACCATAACTACTCATTAAAGCTTAAAGCTTACGTATACCATGTATGCATCTCAGGGAAGGAGTACAGAGGGATATCATGAAGTACTATTCTAAGCAATATCAAAAATTTGTTGTATTATAACCTATTGAGTTACGTTTCCGCTGATGTTCAACTCTGATATAATAGTAAGATATGAAAGAAATAATGTTTAATTCGCATACAAGACTTAGTAGTACCAAAAGAATGTAACGACACCCATTTAGGATTGGGATGTTACAACATAGCTGTCCTGATTGTCACCCTCTAGAATTTGCTTTTTAGCTTTAATGGTACATTCTTGTCACACAACACTCTCGTGACAACCCTCTACTTTAACCACCCTTCCTATATAAGGTGTGCAACTTCTTCCTCGACCTCTTTATCTTTCTGAATCAAAGAGTTTAGATACTTGAAACTGTCCTTTTAGCATACCTATTGCCCCTCAATGTTGACTTACACTCCCTTGTAAATAAGCTCCCAATTGATATTGCACCATATATTCGGTCTTAGAGCAGTTAATGCTACAAGCCTTGGGTTCCAATGCTGCCCTCCACAACCCCAACTTGGCGTTACCTCTCTTTTTCTTTCCCTTGCCAATACAATGTCGTAGCAAATATCGTACACCATGATTTCTATTAATTCCTTGCTTCACTCTACGATCGTCATCATCCATGTTAGTCAGAAGCCAAGAGAAAACACAAACACCAAATTGAGATGGTGTCTACGAAGGACCACAATTTTTTTGGTTGTGTTTGTATGTAGGCATTTATATTAAACATGTACAGAGTTTGAACTCCTGATTTTAACCACTCACCAAATGATCGTTCACTGTTGACATCTTCCATTATCATTCATAATCAGGTGCTTCTTCAATGACTTAGTATGATTACTTATTATTCGGAGAAGTGCTTCACATCTTTTGTCATGGTCAATGGACCATTTAAGGCTTTCTGCATACATGTGTATTCATTTGCTTATTTATGTTTTCCAGGGTGCTAGATGCCTTGCCTCCTGACATAGATCCTATCCCAAAGAATATTCTCCAGATGTTTGGATTAAAGAGCCTTCGTGATGTAAGTATGCTAAATTGTCACATTTTCTTTACTCTTTTTCTTTCCTAAATGCAAGGCATGTTATGTATATAGCTTTGGGCAAAGGCATGTATATATATGAATTGTAATATGTTTGAGCCTATCTTTGTTCAAAGAGTTATATTATAACACCCCAAAATCTAAAAAAGAGCGACTAATTTAGAACTTTTAACAAACATAATAAATAACACGAGATCCTTCCAAGAAGACCATACTTAATTACAAGTCTAAAACATTGTTAGAAATCAACAACCTTAGAAATTCATTCCTTACAAGGCCTAGGCTAGAACTGGGTGTCACTAAAACCCAATAAAATCGCTATCTCCAAAACAATGCAGAAAACGTCCCAAATAGCTAAGTCCTTCATGAGTCCCAAACTAGCACTTAACTCTTCTCAAGGGTCGCTAATACCCAATAAATTTTGCCAATTGAAATAGTGTTTATAATTTAATACGTAATTTTTCCAAAATACACCATTTTCAAAATACCAAATAACATTGTTCGATGACGGGGGAGACCCATTTCCATTGACCGTGGTGGCATACAAAGTAAGCCACGTATCAAATTAAAGTCCCTTTAAAGCCAAGATGCAAGATGTTGTCCCACTAAAAAATATAAGGGAATGCAGTTGTCCCACCATAATTGATGGTGGATCCACCAAGTATTTTTGGGTGAATTATGAGTTGGTACTTGGTAAGATAATTCTGTAAACAGAAATCTAAATGACTAGTTCTGGATCTACTGTATTCTGTTTATACCATATAACTTTGTAATTATAATATGATTCTTTAGAAAAAAAAATCTTCTTTTGGTCCATGCTGGTTTCTGTTGTGCTGAATGCATAGTGATTTGCTTCTTAGATGACTTGCATTTGTCTAATTACTATTGCAGGCATATTTTGGGATTCACCAGCCAGCAAATTTTAATGAGGCTGATTTAGCTCGCAAAAGGATTATTTTTGACCAGTTCTTCTACCTTCAGGTGAGCCTTTGTTATTTAATGGTGTTCTTTTGAGCTTCTCATGATGGCGCATGAAAAGGATGATTGCTTGGAAATCACCTTTTACTATAAAACGTTCATGAGTTCATGTGGGTGGTTTCTTTTATTTTTATATATATTTTTGGCTTTTTGATGCGGTGCAAGTTCTTATGCCATATCTACGAAATAACAGTTAGGACGCTTGTTCCAAATGCTTGAAGGACTTGGTACATGGATCGAGAAGGATGGTTTGCTAGACAAGTACAGAAACCCTGCAACAAATGCTGTACTTGCTGACGAATGGTGCATTCTTACTAAGAAGTTCCTGAAGGCCTTACCATATTCGTTAACTTCTAGTCAATTAAGTGCTGTTTCAGAAATCATTTGGGATTTAAAGCGACAAGTTCCAATGAATCGACTTTTGCAGGTCTGAATTGAAGTAACCATTATTTTTTTCTTGACTTCATTGTTATTAAATATATGGTTTCTAGAATCTCGATTTTCTTTACTGTTACACGAGTTAGTGATTTATATTTAAACCAAACTAAACTAGACCGATATATCCCACTCGGAGGTGGGGTCTTTTTGGGGGGGGGGGAGATGTACACAAATCTGACCTCTATTCTAAAGAGTAGAGAGGCTGTTTCTGCGATGACCCTGGGATAGGCATAGAAAAACAAATATGTTGATTTTTTTGAAAAGCTAGATAAGAGTAAACAACAAAAATAAAACTAAATTCTGGGAAACTAGATATGAGCAAGCAACAACAATATAAATAGAAGCAAGTATAGGAAAAACATAACCACGTTTTGGAAACACCCCTAATCTAACTTAGGTTTCTGGTAACCTAACTACCGACTCACTAACCCTATCTTCTGCCCTCTACCAACTCCATTCTCCCATCTACAACTCCCTAGCCTGCTATCCTATTTGTATTTCATGTTGCTTATATCATGATGCATTCATGTAGTGTATCTATATTAGATTACCTCATGCCAAGTTGGTTGACTGATTCTTTGCTTATGGTTTTTATTATGCGCATTTTATGCAATTGATTGCTGAAAAATTGAACAATATACCAGCAGAGTATGAATGGGTACTTCAAACGTTAACACTCTAGCCCAAAATAAAAAGGTTTTCATGATCTTCTCTATTCCGATTGATCTTTTGTTTAAATATATTGGAAATAAATTAGTTTTCACCAGATAGTGTCTTTACATTCCTTTTACATAGGTTATAAGAAAACATTGCGCTTCTCATGTGGCATAAGAATGGTTTGAAGGGAAATTATTTGAAATGGAAAACATTGATGATTATTGTTAGATTATTCAAGGTTTTGTTAGAGTATTCAGGAAGCTAGTTAAGTCAGCTCAGTCTTCTTTAAATTAACCTATTTTCTAGGAATGTTAGTTTAACTTTCTGATATATAGATGCATATAGGGCAGTAGCAAAATGTATCAGAATGTATTAAGTTAGCAGTGCTTTAGATTGTTTGTTTCCTCATAATAACTTTTATGGTATCAAAACAGTAACCAAAAAATTCGTGAGTTGAAGAGAGACAATGGCTCCTGTAGCAGATTCAGATTCTGGTGTGAGATAGGTGGTGGTTTTGAGGCTCAGACCTCAATATCTGCCTCTAAATCTAAAATCAAACTCGATGCTACCAATATGTCCCTTTAAAATACTACTCACAAGCTCAATGGAAAAAAAAATTGCTCCAATGGTATCGGTTGGCTCAATTGGTAGTTCGAGGCAAAGGGAAGATTGGATTGCACAATGGTTCCAGTTCCGCAAAGAAACCAAATGTGGATGATCTGAATTTTCCGAGTTAGGATATTCAAAATTCTATGGTGATGGCTTGGTGTGATATTAATGTAGCATGATATGGTGAATCAAATCCTGTGTATTAATTGTATAGATATAGGTTGATATGGTGGATCAAATCTTGTGTATTTATTGTGTAGATACTAACTGGCTGCTATATAAAGCCATGTATTCTTGAGGACAATAAAGTGAAAGTTTTAAGAGAATAAAATACAATAAATAAAATTACATAAATTCATCATAATGTAGAAAACGTATAAAAATAATATTTTGAGGACAGTAAAGTGAAAGTTTCAAGAGAATAAAATACAATAAATAAAATTTAAAAAAATGAATAAAATGTAAGAGGAAGGAGTATTTGATGTTTTAGAAGAAAATTTAGTTTTATTTTGAGGTTATATTGGTAAAACATAAGTCTGTTTCACCTTGTTCCATGGGGTGGTGGTGGAACACACCTGTTCGGCTGTTCCACCTTGTTCCACTCTGTTTCTGTCTCTTCCACATAAAAGTATTGCCAAACGTGGAACAATGATCCCGTTCTGTTCTGTCCAATGTATCAAACGCACCCTCAAGGAACAACCTCTGTCTCAAAGAAAACCCACAACCCCTATCCAAGGAAGACTTCTTGTGCTTTTATTTTATTAGAGAAAACACTATCGAATATCCCAACAATTTGCAAATCACAAAGACTTTCAACAAAGTACAAAAGCATTTAACAACTTGGGATGGATTTAGATACAAAATCATTTATAAATTTAGGATACACACATTAGTCAGAAATAACAATTTAGAATAAGCATTTTACACCGAGTTTAATTTTTTTTTCTTCTGAAAAATGTTTTTGCACTAATGAGTGTATCATAAGTTTATAAATGCTTATCTAAATCCATCCCAAGTTAAATGCATCTATAATGCTTTTGTAATTTGTTTTCAGAAGTGTTTGCAATTTGCGTATTGTTGGGATATTTGATAGTGTTTTATCCTATGAAATAAGGGCAAAAGAAGTCTTATTTCGGACCAGGGTTGTAGGCTGTTCTTTGGGCAGTTGTTCCCCGAAGGATTTGGGCAAAGAAAGTCGAGATAAACTAAACAAAGAAAAGGAAAGGCTGCAGAAATGCATGCTTGCTTTCTTTGGTGAAGGGTTGCAGAAAGATATGTTGTAACTTGTAAAGAATATTCTTGAGTTTGATTGAAGGGGGAAAGTGAGGAGAGGAATTGGTGACAGAGCCACCGCTGGTGCATTGAGTAAATCAAGCATGGGTTCTTTTGGCAGATCATATGAGCTGGCAGTTCCTATACTACTATATTAAGCCTTTGAATTGTTAAATCACTAAGATATCACTTTTGAAACTCGGAGTACGGTATAAGGTCACTGGATGGGAAGGGAAGGTAGGGATTCAGAATGACGTGATTAATCAACTTGATGTTTCCATGTATTCCTAATGTTAGTTTTTTTTTTTTTTTTTGCAATTTAGACTGCATCATATTTGGCAGGGAAGCTATCTCATATTAATTACTATTCTCCTTGTCTACACAAATTGATTTCTACTTGATGGTGTTTGTTTGGTAATCCATGAAACTGTTATTGTTGATACACGTTGAACACATGCTTGTATGTTACATATTCAATTTAACTTACTGTAATTGTGCAGGGGGATGTGGGATGTGGGAAAACTGTGGTAGCTTTCTTGGCATGTATGGAGGTTATCGGTTCAGGATATCAGGTTGATTTAGTTTATGCTCTTATAATTTAGAATTTTCCATACTGTCATTGGACCAGACCAGGTCTACTATCTATATGGCATGGGTCTGCCTAGTTTTTATGCCTACTAAACGCTTAGGTTCCAACATATGTCTGGTGAAATAAATTTTCTTGGCTTGGTCATCTGTGGTTTATTTGTAGGCAGCTTTCATGGTTCCAACTGAGTTGCTTGCCATCCAACACCACGATCACCTTCTTAATTTGCTTGAGAATATGGAAGATGTACATTGCAAACCATCTGTTGCTTTGCTAACTGGCTCGACTCCAATAAAGAGGGCGCGCCAAATTCGTGAGGTATGAACAGGCGTCACTACTCTCTAGAAAAGTTGAATCATTGTTATCATTTATTCATATCAACAACTGATGAATTAAAGGGCCAAAAAGATATGCTAGTGGTGGTACATGTTTATAGTCTAGAGAATTTTCTTTCCTCTGAAGGTAAATATTTGAAATATTTGGAGGAGGGAACATTTCAAGTATTGTCATTTTTACTTGGACCTGTATGTTTGCTTTATTCAACTTTGCTTTATTCAACTGGCAGGGTCTCCAAAGTGGAGAAATTGCACTTGTCATTGGGACCCACAGTTTAATTGCTGAAAAGGTGGAATTCTCCTCTTTACGGATTGCTGTGGTAGATGAGCAACACAGATTTGGTGTGATCCAGAGAGGTCGATTTAACAGCAAGGTGCCTCTGAGCTTTAAAGATATCCTCATATTAGATCTTTCATCTGTTAATATTTTCTTTTTGGATAAAGAAAGAGTTAGCAATCATGATGGGGTACAAACACACAATCTTCTGCTCCGAAGATGAGCAATCTTATTCTTTATGACACACACCTTATTGGTATGTTGTTTATATTGTTATCTGTGACTGTTAGCACAATGACCGCTGTTAAGTCGCCTTAAAACGTAGGGCAATAGATAGATGGAGCATCAATGTTTATGAGGATTAAGACCTCCTTTCATATGCTTATTCTTTTTCCATTACAGAAGAGAACAAGATGAGGTGAGGTGCATCAATATGCATGAACACACATGAATGGTGGATTCATGTATATATTGACAAGAAAAATGCTTTGAGAACTAGAAAAATCTGTTGATTCTATCTGAACTGGTTGGACTGTATAATAAAGGGTAAAGCCAAATGCTAACTTGTTTAGATTAAGATTACTGTTCTTATGCATTACTTTCAGTGATTTGTACAAGACACCTTCCACTGTTGTGGATGTGGAGATATTAAGGTGGAAGCTACAATAAATATCCCTATATTTGATAAACTAAGTCAACTGTGGCAGTTTAAGTAAATCCTTATTCGTGGAATGGCGAAAAGTTTTCTATTGCGTAATTTATGGGATAGAAGTCTCAAATATTGTGGTAACCTGAAAGTTTGAATGTAACCAGAAAATTAGAAAAAAAAAACAAAAAGAAATAAAGAAGAATCGTACATATAAACAAAAGTACTGCAGCATGCTAACAACCCACAGTTCAACTCTGCCCTAGAAGAACTTCTAATCAAAACCCTATGTCCACAATTCAATCTTCATATTGATGGAATGGCAGGTTGAGTACCTTAGTTGGCAGTCAAAACTGGAATTCTTTTCGCAATCTTATGGGAGTATACAACTGGACCTGGAAATGAGTGGAGAGATCTGTTTGGTAAACCAACTTAAGAAGGCAAAAAAGTGGACGTTTTGGAAGCCAGTGGATTTATTAATGTTATGAACTTATTTTCTAGTAGTAGTGTCATAAGTACGTCTATCAGAACATGTTAATGTTTGTATATTCTGGTTAGTGTCAGAACCATGTCTTTGTTGATATATTACGACTACTAACATCAGATTATTTATATATGTATTATATGGTTGATCATTGGTATCCTTTTGTAACTTCTATTGGCATCATTTTCAGCCGTACCAACTAACTAGGGACATGGGCTTTGCTGGTATTGTTGCTGTTACTGATACTGTTTTTATGTTCTAGCATAGTGTTATGTTGCTTACTATAAGCAAGTGCTCCATTACCTAGTATATCAATTACATTCTGTAATATGTCCTCCGTTATCCCAAATATATCATTTCTCTATGAAATGTTGGCACAGGTTTCCATCCTTCTTTTGAATCTAGTTTAGTTACATTAGATCCCTTTCTTGACCAAAAAACTTGTCCTCATATCTTATTAGTGCTCACATGCTTTTTAAAACCACAGCTCCTGCATGCTATTTCAGAAACAAAATGGGATCTTGATTTAGTGAAGAAAATATGAAGGGCCTTTATGTAGCTTATACATTGTCTAAGTAAAGTGACGTCTGCTCCTTATAACCCTGTGTGTGATTTAGCCAATCAAATTTTCAGTGTTATGTCCTATCTTTTGTTCGCTCTTGTACTAGAAGATTGCTATTGTCACCGACTGAAGCTCTGAAATCTTGCAGCTGTACGGCAACTCCATAAATTCCAGATTGGCTGAAATTGATTCAACTGGCTCCTCAAAAGGCGACATAAATATGGCTCCTCATGTACTTGCTATGACTGCCACCCCAATCCCAAGGACTCTTGCTTTAGCATTGTATGGAGACATGTCTCTGACACAAGTATGTAATCCTGCTGCCTGCTTTATTAGAATTCTTTTCTACTACATATGTTTCCAGGCTTCAAACTTCTCAAAACTTGATTGGGTTCTTTAAATGCCTTTATGTTTTCTGTAAGACTAGATCTTCGTAAGGGCCGTTTGGTGCAATAGACATGCTTTTGGTTTAGGATTGGATAGCCTAACAGTGAAGTCCTTAAAGAGTGTAAGCTTGGCGTGCAACATGTGTGGTCTGAACCAATTTGTGTTTTTGGAGCAATATATGTGTTACTTTGCTTTTCAATAGGATTTTTTAAACCTATACTGCACTTGAATTGCTTACTGGAGTCTAATGTGACTTCTCTTGATTGAGTTTCAGATAACCGATTTACCTCCTGGGAGAAAACCAATAGATACATTTATAGTTGAAGGAAATGAGACTGGCTTTGAAGAGGTTTATCAGGTATCTATTACTATCATCTCGTCTGATCTATGAATATCAGAAACAGGAGGTAACTCTAATTTTGTCCAATGTGCTTTGCTGTTTGTCGACTTTACAAGTTTGTACAATCTTCCATCAGAAATCGTCCTTCTTTGTGTTATTTATGATTATTGTTTATTCTGCTAGAACTGACACCTTCAGGTAAAGAGTATTATACTGGAACCAGATTAATATTTGCAGGGGAATTGTATGCTTCCACAACTTCTGCAAAGAGTTGGAAGTACCAAGAAGATGGTGTCTGAGTTAACGTATTCGGTCATTAATGAAATAAAAAATGATTATGTACCCCATTACTTTGTTGTAGTTAATTGCATTCCAGTTGCTTGAAGTATCAAAAGTAAGATCAGCTAGAAGTTTTAGAATTATGGTCAATTTGTCCTCTGAAAATGCACGGATATAAGAATGTGACTGCCCCGGTAACTGGTACCTTAGTCATGGATAGTGAACCTTTGCAGTAGCAAGTAAATGCTCGCGATTTTGAATAAAGTTTTTCAAGGGATTCTGTTCCCTTTTTTCAAAAAAAGTACTCGTGGTTTGTAGGTGCAAAGATGCCACAAATGTTATAGTAGAAAGGAGCATAGTATAGTTTGGTTCCATGAATTGCTAATTGTCTATAATTATGTACATAGCTTGAGATGTAGCATTGCTGCTTGAAAGATGTTCCTTTGAGGGAGCTAAATTTGTAAACAACTTTACAATTCATGACATGACAAATCGCACCTTCCTTGAAGATTATGTTATAGTTAATAATCCAACAGACTACCAATTTCTCATCTCTACATGAAAAGACAAGCTTAGTGATGTAGACCAATAGTAAATCAGTTGGATTACTTGAATTTGCTGAATGATTACAATCTCCACAGGCTTTCGAGAGGCTTGGGTCTCTCCCAAAACAGTCTCACACTCAATTGAATTCACGACACATAATGCCCTTAGTCACCTACTTTATTTATACTACTCCCGGCCACCAATTGTCTTACCTGACTACACGTACTAACAGACAATCCTACCCGCCTACCAATATTGACCAGTTGACTTCCATACCCAGGGTATAACAATACCCGCCCTCCAACACACACCTTGTCCTCAAGGTGGAAAGAAATGAAACAAAACTTGAATCACAACTTGTTCATCTGAAAGTTTCTGCCCATTGATTAACATCAAGCTGAGCATTGGTCCGCCAAGACTCCACTGATTTCCACAGTCGTGGAACAAAACCATCCTTAGTATTTCGGGGAATGATCTTGGGCAGTCTCCAATAACACTGCTTCCATTATCCACGTTTAGATGCTTGTTCTTTAGTGATCTTGACCTTTTTAGTGTTGAACCCATGCAACAATTTGTTTTTCTGTCACTTACACATTTTACTTCTAATACATCATCTTCTACATTGCTACGGTTGTTGAAATTTTCAAGTAGCTGCTGCTGCTCCTTCCTTGGTTTATCTGGATGATGTTTAAGGCACTGATCTTCATGTTCAATGGCCTTCATCCACTGCAGTTCTCTAAGTGCATGCACATACACTGCCTCTTTTCTATGACTTTCAGAAAAATTGGCAGTCTCGTACCCTTTACCCCTCCAGTCCTTTGGGTTATCAGGTTTAGTGTAAACCCAATCTTATACCCTAGAGGACATGTATCTCTCTTTTTGTCTCCTCTCATCATCCATCTTCTAGAAAAAGCCAGAACTTCCTCATCCAATTGGCTTGTTAGATGACTGATTTCTCTCTCACTTGGTACATATGTTCCAAGTGAACTTGTACCTATCTGTGTGACCACTTACCATCTCTCTCCTATTTTGCGCTGTGGAAGTTGTTTTAAACACTTGTATCATTTCCTTTAACCTCTCCAATATCAACTCTTCAACTCAGCCAACACTGACCAAAACAAAGGCCCACCCAACAAAATTGACTGGCTTGTAGCCTACTCTGCCATGTTGCTATGTCATATTTTAGTATGACTTGTGTTTCTTGTGGTAGGTACTTCTCCCCCCTCATTTTTCCTCTTTCTCGAACTAAATGGCCCTTTAAGCTGGAAGGGGCGACAATCGATCAACAACTCTTCTTTTGTTAGAGAAACATCAAATCTTCTTGCAAATAGTGCATTAAACCACTCGAAATTCTCAACTGGATTAGAAATGGTTGGAATTGCATACCCAATATTATTAGCATCATCCAACCTATAAACCTGAATTGTTACACCAATGTATTCTCCTTGATCAACGAAATCAGGGCAACCGTTAATAACCCTGATGAATTATTGCTTCTTTGCGAGTCCCTAACAGTTCAACAGATAACTGAGCATAAGATGCACTTTCCATTCGAGATACCAACTCCCTGTTGACTGAGATGCTATGCTGTTAATTGCGGTGCTATAGCAGTTAGCGGTCCTAGGGGAAATAGTGGTAAAAATGCAAGTTGCAAACCGCACCGCGGAAGTTCTAAACCGTGCTTTGCTTTGCGGCGCGTTGTGGGCAGTTTGTGTGGTTTGGCGGTTTAGATGAACACCCCTACTAACTACATGTACTAACAAACTCTCCTACCCGCCTACTAATATTGACCGGTTGATGTCCATACCCAGGGTATAACACTTAGTTGTCTTCACCCACAGCCTTGGATAAGTGCTCCAAGTTGTGAGTAGAACTGGAATATAGCAACATAGTTTTATGCACTAAATGTTCTAGTGCACCTGTCTTGCAGTTATCATGATTATTAGGTGTCTCATATTAGATAAGATGTGTTCTTCCGGAATGCCCCATATTAGACGTGATGTGTTCTTTTGGGATCTTAAATGATTTAACATTCTACAGTTACTTCCATCATTTAATGCACAAGGTCCTAGGCATCCCCAGCGGGTATGGGGAATCGAATTCCCTCCGCCGATTTTTGTTGGGCCTATCCCTGGTCAATCCCTAGTTCAACAAAATGGTTCAAAAAAAATTGTCAAAGTTGGTTAAAAAATATAATATATTATATAACACATTTAAAAAAAGAATTAATTAATATATATACATACGGGTTGGGGAATACAGTTACCTTTCCCCGGCCTCGGTTTTCAACATGTCGGGGATCCCGGACCGGGTACCCGTTTTTACACGGCATCCCCGGCCCCGACAGGCGGGGCAAATGACCATGCCTACAAGGTCCACTGAGTTTTGAACCCCCCCCCCCCCCTTGCTGCGGGTCATTTTATATGAATATGTAGCAACACTATTTGAAAATATTTTGGGAACAACAGAACAACACCAAACGTATTAGCTAGATAGTATGTTTGGTATTTTGGGTCACAAACTGTGTTGTGTTAATATTAGTTGTTACATAGACCAAGTATTTTTTTCAATGTTGTTTCAAGTGATTGATGATAAAAAAATTGCAACGCCACTTTCTATTTACGTATCCTATTATCATGCATATTCTGGAGCTGTTTGGTACATTTAGAAAGAATTTTACGAGAAAGATCTTGCGTATGTATATTTTTAAGTTCGGAACAACCTTTTAATATTGAAAAGAACATTTTAAATTAATTTAACTTGATGGACATATAAGCTCCTAAAGACGAGTACCAAAAGCAGTTTTTGTAATTTTCTTAGGATGGAGGGAGTATTAAATACCAGCAGGGTTCCTGATAAGTTGTAACCAGGTGCATGGTGCCCTCCCATACATGGTCTGATGAGAAACAATCAGCAATTTATATGTTCTTTTTGTTTAATTGCAGATGATGAATGGAGAATTAGAATCAGGAGGGAGAGTGTATATAGTTTACCCAATTATTGATCAATCAGACCAACTTCCTCAGCTTCGTGGCGCTTCTGCTGACCTTGAAGTGATATCAAATACGTTTGAAAGTGCCAATTGCGGCTTGTTACATGGGAGAATGAAAAGTGATGAGAAAGACGAAGCTTTGAGACGGTTTAGATCAGGAGAGACACAAATTTTGCTTTCTACTCAAGTCATTGAGGTTGGTGTTGATGTACCAGAAGCTTCGATGATGGTTGTTATGAATGCTGAGAGATTTGGGATGGCTCAACTACACCAACTTAGGGGACGAGTTGGACGTGGGGTCCGCAAGTCAAAGTGTGTACTTTTGTCTTCAACGACCAGTGGTCTGGCTCGATTGAAAGTTCTAGAGAAATCATCAGATGGTTTCCATCTGGCTAACATGGACCTTCTTCTGCGTGGTCCTGGTGACTTGCTTGGTAGGAAACAGTCAGGACATCTTCCAGAGTTTCCAGTTGCCAGATTAGAAATAGATGGAAATATACTACAGGAAGCACACCTTGCTGCACTGGTAATGATTCTGAACCAAAGCACTACCCTTTTTGGCTTTTGTCGTATTATATTTTTAGCGTCAAGTTCATACGAGAACCAACTATTCATGATGAATATTGTGATAGATATAATTCATCACAAATATTTCATGAATTGTTGGTTCTCATAGTTCTCAAAATATTTATGGTTCCTAAATTAACTTTCCCGTATATTTTAAATTTATTATTATTATATTGGTTGCATGAGAGAGTTCTTGGTAGGGTTGAACGAAGACCATGGATTGGTACTTGATATGCTATTTGATGTTGAATATTCTGTTGAAAACATGTTTGACATAGCTTATTTTTAGCTTTTTATCTCCCCAATCGTTCTATTCTAGTATTTCTTTTTTGTTTTTTCAAGTTGAAAAAGAAAGTAATTGTTGCTCAAATTCTCAGCAAAAGCACTCGGTGTGCATGTTGTAAAACACACTTATCACAGGGCATGACCATTTTATGCAGGATTTAAGTGACCCATTTTGAGAATACATGCAGTGAGTTTCCATCATTTACCCCCATTTTTAGTTAATAGTTATCTACACAAAGAAGACAAATCTGGTTAATCTGGGATGAAGATAGAAGTCATTCCATACTCTGGATGCCAAAATGTGGACTTCTTTCCAAGGGGCTTATCGATATTTTAGCATTGTGAATATTTAAGCACTATATGTGATTCTAGTGAAGGAACCCACTTGTAGGCCAACTTCTATGTGATACTTCTCTACTTCCATAAGCCACATAGAACGCATAAGCTATACTATTTAACAGGAGAGAAGAGTGTTCTTGGAGACACATAAGAAGCGTCTTTGTCCGAATGAGCATACGTTTTAAGTTGTCATTTCAGTAGCAAGTTTTTTTTTTCACTTCCTGGTTTTTAGAGCAATTTTATTGTCAAATTAATTTTTTTCTGGTAAAAGCTGTTTTACTTGCCAAAATGCACATCATTCACAATGCCCTTATTCTTTTCCTGATAAACTTCAATTTACAAATACATGTTATAATTGCAGACAATTTTAGGCGAGTCGCATAATTTGGAGAAATTCCCAGCACTTAAAGCGGAGCTCAGTATGAGACAACCGCTCTGCCTTTTAGGTGATTAATGGAAAGATGCATCATGAAGCCAACAGAAGACTCACACATCTAAAATGTTGGTGGACGTAAGATTAATATGCAGTTTCAGAACCTTGTAAATACCTCCTGATTCTTGAAGCCCACCCAGGGATGTGCCTAATGCTTCCATGCAGTTGATATTTAGGTATGTCCTTTTACAATCCTTAATAATCATATCACCATGAGATGCTAGGAATTTGAATGGCATATATATGCTACTTCCTCCCATAAAATGACTTTACAGTCTAGTAAAATGTCTAAAACGCCCTTGACTAATTCCAAGAAAAGAAATGTTGCAAATTTCATGAGTTAGTTTCTATCATTTTGTGTGATTAGGGGCCGTTTACCTAAACACTTACCCAGTAAGCACTTATCGGTAAAATTAAACACTATTGCTTACTTACCAGGTAAGATTTTATCCACTAAAACGCATCGTATGCAACAATTTATCCCAGTAAGCGCTAACCATGGTAAGAGTCCTCGTTCTCACTTACCGGGTAAGACTCTGGATTCTTGTCTTCGCTCTTACCGGGTAAGATTTTTAGTCATTGACATATTCATCCAGTAAAGTAAAGTGAATTGGTAAGTGCTTACCCGGGTAAACGTTTGGTAAACAGGACCTAAATCTACTAGTAATCTGTCCATGTAGCTGCCATAACTTAAGGAAGGTTCTTCAATGAACTATTTTCCCTTCTGAATTTCAGGGAGAGTAGCAGTTAAACGCAGATATGATGAAATGAAATTTTGTGGGTTGAACGGTACAGTATATTACCCAATTCATCTCTTTCGATGCTTTCTATGTATGTATGTATGTATGTACAAACCTGATGAGATATCCAGATGAACTTTCTTATGTTATAATCTGACTTACACTTCCTTATATCGATTGTTAAACTTTTTCTTTACTTGCTTGAGCCTGAGCAAATCCCGGCTGGCTGGCTGGCGTTTTCTGTGAGCTCGTTGCTGTTGAAACAATATGAACTTGAGCAGGGCTTTGCTGGTTCACCATGACTAGTTCTAGCCATCTTGTAGCAAAATGGTCGGGTCAGATGGGTGATAAATTTTTGGATCCGGTTGAGTTGACCCTCACGCCAATATTTTCGTCAATTTTTTAAAATTTTATTAAACAAATAGAGGCTCAATTAATAAAGATAAAAATAGTAAGAATTAATGATTTATATGTGAATCATTGATAGAGGGAAACATGTGAATAATGTGTAAAAACGTACGTAAGCAAATGCAAGTTCACATGGGTTCGTGGAGCCGATGATTTGGATCCGGATTGATTTTAATTTTGGAAAATAAGCCCAAAACAACAAAGTTCGTGCAAGATGGTTTCCGGAACTTGATACTTTACCATTTCTTTTCCTCTAAGATCTCGTATCAACCAATTATAATTGGTATACAAAGTCTTATACCATGCACTAATCAAACATATTCGGTACCATTTTTTCGGTTGGTACTGACTTGTACCGACTTCTAGTTCATATATGAAAACTTGCAGTTCTGTTTAGATTTTGAGTGACACTTTCAGTCTGCGGGTTAGAGATGATGTGTTTAAGAGTTTGTTGATTGAAAAAAATAGAACTTGCATAAATTTGAATGTTTAAGCAAAATGAAATTAAAGCTACAATTTTTAATATTCAATAAATCAAAAATATACAAAAGACTAATAAGTAATAAAATAAATCTAGTACCATTGTACTACTGTGGTACGGGATCTACAATTCCGTCTACCAACCAAGTTTTCATATTTAGTATGGTACTACCAACCAATTGCAATCAGTACTTATTTAACTGGTATCAATTTAATTGGTACGATTGATATATATGTTGGTTGATTTGTTTTAATACAAAATTGCTACCCCGTCCCTAAAAGTATTATAAAAAGTTGATCCGGCAAATTGCCAGGCAAGGTGATTGGAGGAAGAGAATGAATAATTCCTTGATTTGGATTAAGGGATTCTTGATTTTGATCACAGCTTGATTTGGATTAAGAGATTCTTGATTTCGATCAGAGCAGGCATATGCCAAACATGAATATTTCGGAAGCTACATACAACTCGTTAAATGGGAGCCTTAGAAACTCAATACCCACAAAACCAAATCCTCAAAAAGAATTATAACCGAGACTCGAACTATTACGTGTTTATGCAAATATATCATCTTAGAACCAACTATGTTAGAGCATGCTGGACGCATTAAACAACAAAGTTGTATAACGGTTTGCACTTCCTTTCAAAATATCCCATCGTACTAGTCTCACGACCATCGTTCTAGTCTCATGATCATCGTTAAAGCAAGTAAATAACAGAGTCCATGCTCCAGAATCGAGTGAAGATATAAAATCACATAAACTTATGAAAACCAATAACCATAAGTGAATGGAAAGAACTTGATCTCAAAATTCATACATGGTCACCCTCTTAGAATAATTTCCCAACACGAAAATTGCTGCAAAAACACGTATTTTATGCCGATGGCACCGATCTAGCCTGCACCGTTGCTTGCAACTTGCCAAGAAAAGCCTGGAGCTCCTTAAATTCTTCGGTCTCTGAAAACTTCAAAGCCGCCTGCTTGATCGTGCTCTTGAGGTGCATCTCGGCTGCATACACTTCTCGACCGCCACCATTTTGTGAACCGATCTCCATATAAACTTTACAAAGTTCTAAAGAAGCGTGTGCAAACTTCTTGAAACGTTCTTTGTCTTTCCACAACTCCGATCCTTGATATGATCTAACTTGCTTTAATAACGCTTCGGAGCACATTGTGGGGTCTCCTTTCAGTTTATGCCACCGTGCGAATAATCCCCAAATCTCACCATCTCCTCCATTTCTAGCAATTTGCTGCAAAACTTTACCAATCATCTCAGTTAATTGCTCGTTTTCTCGACAATCGTCACCGTTGTTCCCTTCGATCTCGACCATTATCCGCTCCAGTAACTTGACATCAATTCTTTTATTCTTGGTAATACTCAATACTTTCTGGGTAGCTTCCAAAGCCAGACCAAAATTGCCATTATCAACTGCAACCTGGCTGTAATTCTCCCACATTTGCCAACTATCTCTTTTGAACTTTAAAGCTTCCTTAAATGCAATTAAAGCCTCTTTGCTTCTCTTTTTGGTCATATGCAAACAAGCAATATTATTCCATGCCTCCCCATTATCTGGATCGAGCTGAACGGCACGCGTAAATGCATCCAACGCTTTTCCGACATCCCGAGCCTTCAAGGCGGCGGCACCGAGTGCAAACCACCCGTCTGGATACAATGAGTTTAACGCCATAGCAGATTCCCATAGAAGTTTCGACTTTTCGTATTCCCCTCGGTTGTATGCACTGCGGGCAAGAGAACGTTTTGCCCTTACGGATTTGTTTTCTGAAACTTCCAAGGCTTTTTCGTAGCAGGAATCTTGGTTCGTAACGTCGCCCAGTGAACACCATAATCTTGGGTCGTTGGGTTTTTCCAAAAGACGGGTGTTAATGAGTTCCACTGCAGCTGCTCGTTTTTCCAATAGGCGGTAACAAAATATTACGTTATCCCATAGTTCAAGATTCTCGTAAATCTTGACAGCCTCCCCAATCAAGCCACAACTAACCAAAAGATCAGCGTATTCTTTACGAAGAGTTGGAATCGTGGGTATGTCGACACCAAAACAACAATGTATTCTTGCAGCAACTCCGGGAGTAGACTCGTTGATACCTTCGACCACCTTATCCATCATTAAAATGGCTCGCTCCTTAGTGCGGCTACGGGTTCCCTCCCATCTTATGCGTAATAAGTCACAGAAACGTCTGATAATGAATGAAGAAGCTGGCTGAGAATCGATAGCTTCTATATACGGTGCCATATCCCACCGCTGCATTTCATCATGAGGAGTATTTTTTTCGATTAAAAGACATTGTGCCAAAATCAGAGCTTGTTGGACTGGCTTCAAAGAAGTGCTACCATTACTGAAAATGACAGAACCTCCATTGTTGTCTTCTAAGAATCTTGGAGTCAATAACACATCAGATGCTTCATGAACCTGATGATCATGCTGACAAGATTGATCCTTTCTATCAACAGAACTGGAAACATTTAAGGGGCCATTTCTAGAATTTGAATTATCTGCAAAGAGACGAAGCTGTGCCTTCGGATCGACCTGATGTACAGTTCGAAAACCCAAAGAGCCACCGACAGAAAGTGAAAGCCCAGATGCTTTATTTGCCGATTCGAAATGCGATTTGGAAGAATCAACACGTCCATATCTAAAATCAATGATTCCCATTTCTAAGTGAACCATAGATACAATATCACTCAAAATCCCTTCTTCCGTATCCTTCCAGTAGCTTGATACTTTCATGAAATCACCCAAATGAGCTGAAGTTTCAGGGATTAATTCTTGCAATTTCTCAAAGAGAACAGAAGAATGGGAATCAAGGAGCTTCTGTTGAATCAGTATAACCCTAGCTAACCACCATGAACACGTTGGAAAAAACACACTATTCTCATTTGATTGTTCATCTTTAGACAGCAAATACTCTCTGATTCTCAACAACACCAACTTAGCGAAAACTAAGTATTCCAAATTAGAGAATTTTCCCAACAAATCAGAGCCAGATGACATCACCTCATTACGAGCCCAAACTTCCAAATCCTCTTTAGCTGCATCAGCGAGCAACGGCGGCAGTGATTCCGGAGGGCCGGTAACGTTAGACTGTATGAAAGCTGAAAAGGCCGAAACCGCAACGGCAACTACGAGAAATGCCCTTAAAGAGGTATCTTCATCGCTGTTTTCTGCAATTAAGAACGAACTGACACAATTTGCGATTGAATCGGAGTAGGAAGAAGATGAATGGTTGAGATTGAGGAGAAAGGCTGCGTAGTCGGAGGCCAGGGCTTTTGAGTAATGCCCTGATTCAATTGATTGGAGTAGGTTATCTATTGAGGTCTGAAGGGGACTGGAAGTGGTTAAGATTTGAGGAGTGGGAAGGGGTTGATCATGTGAAAGTGAACAACGAAGAAGACGGAGCTCGTAGCTACGAAGAATTTGCAGGACGATGGGTAATCTAGCTTCCGCCATCGAAGAGAAGCTTGAGTTAGGGTTTGGGACATAGGGTTTTAAACGCCGGTTTTGGAGGGTATGCTTCTGGTTGCTCTCTTGCTCATGGTTTGACTTTGACCGGAACCTTTTTAACGGTCTATCGGGTTGGGTTGGACGATTTACTAGGCATGGCAACGGAGCGGGGATGGGGCGTGTTTTGTAATTCCCGGCCTCGGCCCTGGTCCCCGATCAAATCTCGTAAATAATATCCTTTATTTTGATTCTATCGGGGGTCTACGGCCCTGTCCCCGGTTTGAGTAACATCCCCGTCCCCGGCCTCGTCCTCGGTTTGTGTCCACCGGGAATCCCCGGCCCCGGGACCCGTTTTAGCGGGAAATCCGTCCCCGTTCAGGTCGGGTGAACCGGGTTCCCCACAAGGTCGGGAGCAAATCACCATCCCTACGATTTACAATATTTTTAGATTCAACTCAATTATGATGGTTTGAAAAAATCTCATCCAATTCAACTCATTCAAAAGTATAACCCAACTCAATCCAACCCTTACGGATTAAGGCGGGTTGGATTGGGTTGGCAGGTTTTGTTTAATTGGGTTGTTAACGAGTTTGGGATGGACAGATTTCACTGGTTGACAGTTTTTTATAAACCCCTACTTTTAACATATAAAACTTAAAAACAAATTCTAATCGTTTTCTATATTATTACAAAAATACATATTTAATCCTAAAATTTATATATTTCAAAAAATAACTCTATCGCCCTGTTAGCACCAATCGTGCGTACATAGACTGATTTGCAAAAAAATATATCGACCATGATGTAACCGAGGCCTGACGATGTGACAACACATTGACCACACCATAACCCATCGGCTGGTGCGTGGTGCGTAAAGGCCCCATTGGCCATCCGGCTTTTTTTTCTCACTTTGCTCTTTCCCAATACGATACTATTCAATTTTGTTTTTTTTCCTTCTCAACCTCACTATATAAACAATTTCATATTATCAATACAAAACCAACACTTTAATTTCCATTATCTTAATACAATATCCATCACCGATATTTAATCGTCTACATTATAGTAAGTTTACTTATATTAATTTTAATATAATCTAATTTTTATAATGTATTAATTTAATATAATCTCATTTTTACAATGTATTTTTTATATAATCTCATTTTTACAATATAT